TCATGGTGCTTCTCTGTGATGGCAAAGCATCTGTGGGAAGGTGAGGAGTTCCACAGTGCAGAGAGGTTTGGAGCAGGTCTTAGCCCACACGAGCATAGACAATACACATCTTTGAGGGGTCGTCCTTCTGCACCACATCATAGTCACAGCGCTCTTTGTTGAAAACGACTTTACATTTCTTATTGTCGTAAGCAACAGGAGTATGAAAGCTGTCAGTGTCAAAGAGAAAGCAAATGTTAGCTTGGAATCAGTAAAAGTTTCAATATTTCAGTGATTATTGCCTGAGCTACAGCTGAATGAGAGAGGACTGAAACTATGGCTAAGGGTAGCTGAGCCAGCTTGAGTACCACAGAGCTGCAGCTTTCAGAGACTCAAACAATGCCCTCTGCACTGTGTGGATCTGTTGCCTTGATGTTTCTGGCGTTCTGATGTTGACATATTCATGTTATACTTTCTCACACACTCTTTCTGATAAACAGAATTCTTTTGCATTCCTCTTTGGAGGAAGCGAGCATTGAAGGACAAGTGATGATGCCAGTGGAGTCAGGAGGTCTCATCATCACTGTCCAATCCATGCTCATTGTTAGATCTCTTTAAATAGACATGTCATGTAAATAAAGTGCTCTTTTCCTGTTCATCTAAGTCAGGTGCGTGCTTGCTCTCTCTCTTTTATGTGTGCATCACAAGACCAGAAGTGGTGACCCCGACTGACATGGATGTACCAGGATGCTCAGCACTAGCAAAGTGTGACATAACCATGGGCTTGGTGTCTTTCCTCTGTTTTCCTTTATTTTTTCATTATTTTGAGTTCGCATAGGATGTGGTGGCTGCTCACTGACAGACTGTGCCACCTAAACAAAGACAATCCTCAAAGTATTTTGGACCTTTGAGAAAGCAGGAGTGGAGAAAAGGTGGGTGCTGGAGAGGTACATCAGAGCAGAGCCTTGCCATTCTACATTTAGCATATTCACTAGTGAAAAGCATTTCAGGAAAGGGATTCAGATCATCCTAAGCTCTTTAGGGAAATGTCACTTAAGTCATTCCTCCCTACTTCCTCCCTACCCCCACTTTCTAAGCTAATGAAAGCCTTAACTGCAGTGAAAGAGGAGTTTACAAGTTCCTTAAAAATTAAAGGCAAGCACCAACTGGATATGCCTGGAAAGGTTTATGTCCACTCCCAGTCAGCAGAAAATGAGCTAAGGCAAACACAGCTAAGGATTCAAACAATCAAGAGTTATCTGTGGCTTTCACTAGCTCTGTGACATGAATGAGATAGGGCTCTCTTGTGCCCTTACAAACCCATTTATCCCCAGCAAGGGAAAGCTGCAGTCATCCTACAGGCAATGAGGGTACCAAGAAGTTCAAACTTACAGGGAACAGCATTGCAGACTACTTTCACTGCAGCTGCATGTGTAGCAATCCTCTGTCCTCTCAATGTGTCCAAAGGGATACAGTTTTCCATTCACCATACAGCCTGTATGAGACAGCAGCAAAACAGAACATGTTCTTCAAGCCTCCACCCCAAGGCTGAAGAGTTTAAAAATTATTTGAACCTTTCTGAAATGTAATTCCAGGCAAAAGTAAAGTGCAAGGATTTGGGTTCTATTCTCTCGAATCCTGAATGAGCTCCATGTGCTGCAACAGCAATAGCCACCCACCACCAATTGCAATAACATTGCTGCAACCATACACAGCCACGGGGTAGACTTGGTTTCCCCCCTACTTTTGGCAACTTGCGGCTGGAGCCCCCTGTTTGTGTGTTGGCAATGTCTTCCCCCTCCCTTGTGTTTTGAGCCCTTTGAAGCTCCACATAGAGCAACCAGGTCAGAGAACCTTCCTTTTTCTTACCGTTTTGGGCCTCCCCTGGCTTGTAAATTTTACTCCAGCAGTATGCATCACCCATAGCCACTATGATGCCCATTGCAGCAAAGAAAGCCAGAAAGGTCTTCTGTAAAAGAAACACAGAGCTCATGCCATGCATTTTAATCCACTTTGAACAACTCTGTTCTCAAAAGCTGTCACTGAACCTGAATCAAAATTAGAAATAACCTTATGTGTACATCAAAATAGTGGCAAAGTCACTCCAGATATTTCCTGGCGTTGATGACTTTTTCATTTAGGTGGGAAGATACAAAATGGCATGATATTACCATTTCAGCAGCATTATACGGACAAAATTCAGTCTCTAGAAATCACACTAAACTTCAATTGTATTAAAAACTTGAAAGCCCTGCCAAGCTCTTTTCAATGCTTTATTTATTGCCTTTGAGTCAGATTTAGCTATTTCTCCAGAAAATCTTTGTAGACCATCCTATTGCTTCACTTTTGAGTACAGCAATTGCTTCATATTTTGCAATGGAGAGGAGATTTCAGATTTAAATATATTCCAGTAGGATTTTTGACACAGGCAGCTGGTTAGAGAAGAGAGGGATAAAGGTGTCTTTGGGCAAAATTCAAGTGCTGTACATTGTACTTAGGATCACCTGAGCCATCTTGTCAAACCATGCAGACATGAGTTGGGACTTGAGACAGGATTCACCTCCTTTTGTCTAGTGGGGGCAACAGCTAAGCATCTGTAAGAGACCTCCAGATATGTCCCCTGGCACCTGCTGAACATACAGAACTTTTTCTGAAAAAGCCTGCATGACTTTGTAATGACTGTTTTACTAGGGTAGAGGGACTGGAGAAGCAGGAGAGAGCACAGGCTTGTTTTGATGGGTCCCTCCAGCTGAGTAACTTCAAAGAAATTTTAGGAACAGCCAGAGACTGAGAAGTAATGGAGGAAGTTATTTAAATTTTCTTGATAGCACTTGCAGACTAACATGAAAGGATTTTAAATGAGTAGATCTTTCCCAGTTACTGTTCTGAACTTCAGAAGCTATTGCTGAGGCTGTTGCTGCTTAAAACTGGGTTTAAAAGAGCAGTGAGGGACTTGGTTTACTTGAATCACAGTGCTGTAAGACATTGAAAGGTTCTGAGCTCAGGCAGGAGGTGAGCCAAGGAGAAACTTCTCTGTCTGCTGTGAAAAAAACTTGGTATTTTAACCCTTGATATCTTGTTTCCTTATGAGACTAAGTGACATTTACAGTGTAGAGAAAGCAAGAAGGAGGAGGGTATATGGAGTGGTCTGGGAAGGGGATAATGCATCATTTTCATTGTGATTCTGGGATGTGGAGTTCCTGAGGCTTTAGGCTAGAATAGAGACACTTGTCATGCTGAGCACCATAGCCAGAACGAGAGCAGTTAAAGAGAGAGACTGAAATTCCTAAATTGGGCTATTCTGTGGTGCCTGGGTCAGGTGTTTGCAACAACACAGATAGTCCATGCCATGTCACTCAGGTCTTTATAGAAAATACAAAAATCCTTCGTTTGTTGCTGTGTCTTCTGTTAATGTTTTGTCATTATTTTTCCCTCCAGCATTTTCCTTATCTGTTCCAGCTGTTCCTGGAAATGCCAGTCACTTGAGCTTGGGCATGCTGCTCTCTCTAAAGATCAGAGTTTTAGGCCTTCCAGTGAAAGTAAACAGAGACATAAGGGCAAGTCTGTGGTGTTCAATCAGGTGTCAGAATGTGCTTTATGCTGAAACAAGCAAACGATTTGTCAGCTAAGTAACAGAAACTTTGCAGCAAAGCTTAAGCAGAGAAAGAAATGGTAATTTCTCCTGTTTATGAATCAACATGTATTACAGAAACTACTGCCTGCTCTGTAGAAACTCTGCCATTCCTGAGATGCTCACCAAAGGTACTTCTTGATGTCTGTACCTTTGGAATTAAGAGAACACAAATTACAGGAAAACTAAGCCATAGGTCAGTCTATTTATCATTACCTAACTACTGATTCAGATTCTGCAAACAACTTTGAAGGCTCAAAGACCTGAAACAGGACATAATTTGAGGGATCAAAAGTAAAGAACAGAAAAAAATATGGACAAAATATACACATATTTTCTTTATAAAATTAATATATTTTAAACTGTACTTGACATATATAATGTTTAAAAAGCATAGTCCTAAATGATTCAAAATTCTGAGTGTTTTCAAAAAAATTTCTGAGAAAAGGATAAGATCAAGTATAAGATTAAGAGATATATGTTAGAGTTTCTTGCAAAGAATTACAATACAAAGAACATAATTCACAGTAATCTTCACAGAGGTGTCTGCCTGTCGTTGCATCTTACAGGTTTGAATGATAAT